ATCATCTCTACCATATTTAATAGCAGACTTAACATCATTATAAGAATCAGGAATAACATTAAGCAACACAACAGCAGTATAATCATCAATATGCTTATCACCAGATTGTTTAATATTCTGGATCAACTTATTAAAAATATCCAAGTTTTCATCAATGTCTTTGGTTAGGTCTAGCCTAAACCGAAAGAACTTTTCAAGCAAAAACAGTTTACCAGGCAGAGAGGTGTCAGTATAAAGCTCATCTAACTTATCCCACAACTTTTTAGCAGAATCTAAAATGCCAACCTTTCTAAACACAGAGTCAGATAGATTAAGATAAATAGTAGAGCAGGCAGTTTCATTCATTTCAGCTTTCTTAGCACTAACATCAGAATCCAAATAAAGTTCACTTACAGCTTTAAAACCCTTTTGCTGGATTAAAACACATTTGATCTTTTGTTTCCAAATGTCAAAATCAGTTTTCCCATTAAAAGGTAACATACCATACATATTGGCAGACATAGGAGCAGACATCAGGGTGAACACAATAAGGATAATACTGAAGATTAGTTAGCAAAAGACAAGGGCAATGAAAAACAGCATACAGAGAGACAGAGAACCAAGGAGCTAGGGTTCACCAGTGTACCCGGCTGCGGGCTGACAGGCCACACAGATCCGAAGGCCACTAGAGTGACTGGCAGGGAACCTGTCAGTCCCAACCTCAGGTGCCGAGTCACACAGGCTACAAAATCCCAGTTCACAAGGGTACCAAGCAAGCACAAACGGATAGTAAAAAGGAGAGATAAACACACAAGTGAAACAGAAGCACAGAATACAAGTTCAAAACCTCAAGCCCGCATACACAAAACCAGTACGAATCACAGATCTAAACATGCAGACCAAACTTCACACACAAAGGTAAAGAGTACGCACCTGGGAGCAGTCAGTTACAACTGAAAGCCAGACCAACTAGGTCAGCAACAAAAACAAAGCGGGGAAGGGGATGAAACTAGTAAAAACACCAGAAAGCACACAAACCGGAGGCACCCGGCTACCGAGGGTGTTTATCGCCAATTTACCTGAGCGATAACCCATGAATGGGCTTCTCGACTTACCACTCAAAAGGAGATCAGCGGCTGATGGCGGCGGAGAAGCTCTCGGGCTGTAGACGAGGACGACATGAGGTCCGGCTCTGATACCACTGTCAGGTTTTCACCTCTCCAGCTCAGACCACGCTCAAACAGCACACAACCAAGCACCATCAGAAGGGACAGTCACACTCAGGCCAGACGAGCCATCTCAACGCACACCATGGTTAGGAAGGGAAGCTCAGAGAGAAAGAACCAAAGAAGGGTCGACGGAGAAGAGACAGAGTCTCTCTCTGGTTCTCTCACCTCACTCTCTCACTAACCGAAAGGTCTCAACCACAAAGAGGTCAAAGAAGGGACTTAAATACCGAGGGTCATATGGAACCCTAATAGAGGGTTCCAGAAGAGGGCTAGCGGATAAAACAACATGGGCCGGAAACAAGAGGCAAAGAAACATGCCCAACAAAGGAGAAGAGGGCTGCCATGGCTTATGGGCCAATACCTCCAACGAATCTTACAGTATAATTTGGGGCCGTGGCTAGTACACGAAAAACGACCCATCGTGAATTGTGTACACTACTTCTATGGGTCATAGCATCTTCAACTATCATTAAAAAGTAGGGAGAACTATCAAATAAGCCCTCGAACTTTCATAAAAAGTGAAAATATGCCCTTTTACAGGAAGTTTTTACATGAATTTTTTGGTGAATTTTTTTTAAAATCTTCTTCATTAAGTCTAGTTTATCCATACCAAATGTCAGCTAAAAATTCAATGTAGAAGACAGTCAAATGATTTTCTGAAATATACTGCGCTGCCTAACTGCGCAGTTATATTCAAAAATTCATTTGACTATCTTCCCGATTGAATGTTTAGCTGAAATTTGGTATGAGTAAACTAGATTTAATGAAGAAGATGCTCAAAAAAACTTATCAAAAAATTCCACCAGAAACCACTCCAAATGGCGACGGCTAGACAAAGTCTCCTATAAAAGGGATTATTTGCACTTTTTATGAAAGTTCAAAAGTTTGTTTGATAGTTTTCCCTTCAAAAGTAATTTGGACCATTGCCCCTGATACCAGTTGTTCCATGAAAGTTTATCTCATTAATTTGTGACCTCTAGATCACAAGATTCCTATAAATTCGTTCAAATTAATGAGGTTAAAGGTCACTGATTTTTTCCAACATGTGTAGCAGTGTAGAGACTAGTGTGTGAGTGAGAGATGAAAAAGTCTTTAGGTACACTCTGGGTTACACCTAGGAGTACACCCTATATAACCCCCCATTTCTTATTTCCCATCTTCCCACTTTTTTCTCTCCCCCTCCCTCTCTTTCTTCTTTCTTTCTCCTTCATCATCTTGTTCTTTCTTCCTTTCTCCTTCATCATCTTGTTCTTTCTTCCTTTCTCCTTTCTTCATCATCTTCTTCTTCTTTTTCTGTCCTTCTCTCTTTTTCTTTCTTTTTACGTTTTATTCACCTTCATCATCTTCATCTTCATCATCATCTTCTTCTTCTTTCTTTCTTTCTTCTTCTTCTTCTTTATCATCTTCTTCTTTGGCCTTTTTATTCCAAAATTACTAAAATGAATGAAAAAGACAAAAATGTGACATGTTTTAAAATTTTCCAAAAATGTGACCAACATCTTAATTAACCCTGCAGTGCAAAGTGACTACGGTCAAAGTGACTCCGTCCAGAGTGACTGCCCCACCGCCACAGTGACTGCCCCCCGACCACAGTGACACTGCCCCACCGCCACTGTAATTGTCCCTCCGGTCATAGTGACTGCCCACCAGCCACAGTGACTACTGCTCACTGACCACAGTGACATGATGTCTCCGATCACAATGACACGCCATCTCCGGTGTCACAGCCCATCCCTCCCCTGCTCCTCACAACCCCTTCAGTCCCTTTCCCATCCAACCCCACCTTAGCCCCACCCCAACCACCCACCCTCAGCCCCAAATAAAACTGAAAGAAGTGGGAAAGAATGGCAAAACCAGCCCCTCAATGACTTCCAACCACTCAATGACTACCGCCAGTGACCGCCCGTTCAATGACCACCACCATCTCAACCAGTGACCACCAAGAACTCCCCTGCCACATGTCTCAGTCACTGTCCCATTCCCGACCAGTACCCCCAAGCCCTAGCTTTGCCCCATCGCCCTACCCCCAATCCGCTGCAACACCTGCCCCAGTAACTTACTGCCGCTCCTCCTCTCTGACAACCGCCACTACCCCCTTCCCCACCCGACCCCTTCCCTATCCGGCCACTGGTCTGTCCATTGCCCGTACCCCCAATCTGTAGCCCAGATTCGCTTCCAGATCTTCAACACCGATGGCGAGCGGCTCAGGCGAGGAGGTGACGACGAGCGGCTAAGGCGTGAGGACGTGGGCTCCCGACTCTCACCATTGCTTATCAATGGCCCTCCAATCACCGAGAGAAAAGAGAAGAAAAAGAAAAGTTGTGGTGATGGTGCTTGAGAGATGAATCGGCAGCACTGGCGATCGAGAGACGAAGCGGCGTAGATGGCGCTTGAGGTGAAGCAGTGTCGGATGACATGTGAGACGTGAAGCAACGACGATTGGCGGGTGAGAGAGGTGATGCGGTGTCTGGCGAGCGAGAGCAAGGCAACGGTTGCATACCAAAGGCTGATGCATCGATCGATGATATTGGATGGTTTTAGGGTTAACATTTGAGGCCCATTCAATTTAAAGGAGTAACTTTTTTGGAAAAAGTAAATTGAGTCATATATTTGGAAATGAAAACATGGGTAGTAATATAAGGGTCATTATTTCTTCTTCTTTTCCCTTCTCTCTTTTTCTTTTCTTTTTACGTTTTATTAGCTAAGTTTAGAAATGATTCCTTTGAATCATTGTTGTTCATCATGGGTAGTAATATAAGGGTCATTATTTCTTCTTCTTCTTTAATTCTTTCTGTTGAGGTTTAATTCCTTCAACCCGTAGGCCTAACACGTAACCTAAGGCTCTCGAGTGAATGATGGACAAGTGAGATGAAGAACAAACAAGGAAAAGGCCCAATAATGAGTGCTTATTCACTGGAAACGATCACAAATCCGAAGGGTCGTTCGTACAGTGCTATGCTACGTGCTGATACAAATGCTAGAGTGCTAGAGTGCTAAATTGTGAACCCTTTACAGTGAAATAAATGCTACTATTTATACTGCCACTGGGTGGTTGGATGTGTCGACGTGGCTGGCTGTGGGCGGCATGATCCCAACCACCAAATCTTCTGCATTAAATGCGCTTCCCGTCAGGATCTTGGTTCCCCGCCATGGGGAGGGGACGTTCGTCCCCAAGGCTTTGGCTCTTGTCTCCTGCTGGAATCCTCTTCCCCTTCCAAGGGGCGGGGACGTTCGTCCCCAAGCACTTGAGTTATCCTTGATCTATTTCTTGAGCTACTCTTGGCCTCAAAAATTAGCTGCACAAATTAGGCAAAACGTGAACAAACAAATATTTGTATACGTAAAGCAAAAGTAGAGCTCTGAGTCGAGTATATTTATCACACAAGGCATATGCAGTAGACATGAATGGATTATCTAATGAACACTGGTTTCTTGATTCTAACCCCTAAACCTTTTCATCAAGCTCAGTGGATCCCAACAAGCCATTTTGTTCAGGCTCAATGCGAGAGGCGGCTGGTTGAATCCGCTCCTTTGGTTTTGATGATGCACTACCATACCAAATCATGCCCGCTATGGCGATAGCCATTCCCACGACAACATGCAGATTGAGACCCTCTCTCCCAAAGAAGGTGAATCCTAAAATCAACACAAGAATGGTCTTCATGTGTCTGAGCACTTGGAACGAAACTGCAGTGAATCTGCTAATGCATATGAATTGGCTGAGATTGGTCCCGATTGCTATTGTATAAGAGAAGGCGATGAATAACAGTGAGGTTACAGTGTAGTGATAGGCCGCCACACTCTTATCAGTCAACCATTTGTCTGCGATGGGACCCAACAACAACAGAGATGCAGCCTGCAGAGGTGCTGTATGCCCTAACAAGTTGAAAGATCCGAGGGTGTACTTTTGTTGAAGATGGTGTACATAATACTGCTGCAATGCAGTGCTCCAAACATCAATGAAGGCAGCAATAAAACCTTTTGCATTTACACTCACATCTGTAACTGTACAGATAGCAACACCAAGGAGAACTAACAAAATGCTTAGCTTGGTGTCCCTCGAGTAACGCACACCATCCAACACCACTTCCAATAAACACGAGATAGGTATCATGCTTAGTTTCGCAATCTGATAGAACCCTACAGAGTTCCACATCAAACTCACATTCATTCCAACAATTGACAAGTTGGCAAATAATACAAATCTTAGACGCTCAGACCATGGAAGACTGGATTCCTGTATATACCCAAGTCTCTTCAGGATAACCGTCATCAATGTAGTGGTGCCAAAGTGAAGTCCGGTCAGTGTTGATGCAAATGTGAAGCCATAATTAGCCATGAGGTCTTTATTGACAAGTATGATTCCAACAGAAGTAACTGATAGAGTATATAGACTCGGACCCTGGGTCTCACAACTATTGGGCCCAGACAGCGGCCCACTCACGCTTATCGGATGTCATTTATATCATTTGTATTATTGTAGAGATAATATATCATTTGTATGTACTAGATTAGTCTTTTATGTAGTTGGGCCTATCGGGCTCATATTAGCGGTTCGGCCCATTATTTCTCTATTTATACTCCTTTTGGAGCTTGTAACCCTAGAACACAATTCCTAACTCATTCATACATTATTATTATCATCTTCTCCATACTTTCATAGCTCAAATATCTCCTAATTATATATGTGTGGATCCCTATAATCCATCAATGGTGCTTTCATTGAGAGATTAGAGCAAAATCAAGTGAGAAAACCTTCCAAAAACATCCAAGAATTCAACCAAATTACAAAGAAATCGGTCCAAAAGTGTTCTCAAAAATTCAAGATCCGCCGGAGATGGCAGCCACGTTCCGGAGCTAAGCAGGAGATGTCATCGTCATCATCCCGGTTTCTGCCACGCGCCATAGCAGAAGCGCCTCACCCGTTCCCAGGTCTGAATCGAAACTGCCCTGCGCCATCTGCTGTAGCTCGCTTCAAAGAGCACGAACTCCGCTGCCTCCGTTACAGCCCTGCTGGAGTCGCGCTTGGTCACCTACGCGGCTCGGCGGTTGGAGCCTGAGCCGTGACTCGAGATTGACCTTAAATATCCGCCATTAATGGCCCCTTACGAGCTTCAGAAGCAACAGAATGTACACCAGTGGACCCCATGTGGATACGGAACTCTCTCGATGAGAGAACTTGATGAGAGAACTCGAAGAGCGTACCAGTCTCCGCCTGAGGAAGCTTCGTCGTGGTAGTGGCTGAGGAAGACTCGCCGTCACCATCCTCGGTTGCTGCTGGGCTGCTCCTCTTATGAGCTATAATAGGGGTGTGCTACTCTGTTGGCCGCAGGCAAGGCCATCCACACGCAGACATGAAGAAGGTAGATGCTTTGGCAGTAACTTGCCATCAGCTAGGTCAATCGTTGGCCTGCTACTCAATAAGTCAAAGGGCCAATCCTAGTTCTTGCACAGCCGCACAGGCCCAAATAAAAGCTATGTGTTCTTGCTCTCATTTTTATATAATTTACCCAATTCATAAATTGATTCAAGACTTACAAAAAAATATAAAATGAAATATTTTAATAATATAACATCAAACTTCAATCTCGAGGGGTGAGTCATCCGCGAAAAGACCCGTAAATAGCGTCTAACGGATCCTAGCTACGAACTTGAGTGACGAGTTGAGCTAGATTATTAATTTACTATCATTATTATTTTTAAATAGTGTGTATTTTTTGACATTGAAAATACGGACTTATGAAATTCAGAGCACTCGCGTACACCGGGCGAGCACACACACTCGCGCCATCGGGTCACGTCAAACAAATGTGGATAATAAGCTCCCAATCCAAATGTTATCTAATGCATGCTTTAGTTTCTATGTTTTGTATGAGTTATGTGTGCCCTCTAGCTATCGGAAATGAACTACAATCCCTCAGCGGTAGGTTCAAGCCTTTATGCGTGCCACGCTCCAACTAAGCATCGAAACCTAGCTTGAGTTGCAGCTTGGAAATTTGAGGCAACTTAATTTAGGCCCAAATCCAATAGCAAATTATAAGCTCAAGAAATTATAACAATTTATTTAAATGCATAGGTGCAACTAAATGATGACATCATATCGGCCACTTAGCCATCTCTCCTGGTCATCTTTATTTGATGGCTTGGACTTCTTATAGGCCTCTCGGCCACACGTCTCGGTCACTTTATTTGATGACCCGGACATCATATTATGGACGGTCACTCGACCTATCTCTTAGTCATCTTTATTTGATGACTAGGACTACCTATCATGCTGAGCTACACACATACGAGGACCGATCTTGGCCATCCCCTTAGCAGATGCCGACTGTTGCAGTTCCATGCCCAGGCCGAAGGGTTCACCCCTTTTGCTTCATTTTGGGGGCATCCGGTGTACTCTTTTTCCCTCATTAGGATTTTTTCCCATAGGGTTTTTTCCTAGTGAGGTTTTTAACGAGGCATCTCCCCATTGTGGATCAAAAGGCGTCGACCCTCGGTCCCCTATTGAATACATCACGAGACATGCACTACTCTACTCCTCTTCACCTCACTACATTCACCTCAAGGAGTGGAGGACTGGAAGAGCGGGGGACTTTGCGTCTCAATTTTTTTTCGCGAAGTTTACTCACCAGACGACGACAGATCAGCACACAATACTCTCGACTCAGAGAGTGGGGGACTCCTGATAGAGTATATAGACTCAGACCCCTGGGTCTCACGACTATTGCGCCCGGACAGCGGCCCACTCACGCTTATCGGATGTCATTTATATCATTTGTATTATTGTAGAGTTAATATATCATTTGTATGTACTAGATTAGTCTTTTATGTAGTTGGGCCTATCGGGCCCATATTAGCGGTCCGACCCATTATTTCTCTATTTATACTCCTTTTGGAGCTTGTAACCCTAGAACACAATTCCTAACTCATTCATACATTATTATTATCATCTTCTCCATACTTTCATAGCTCAAATATCTCCTAATTATATATGTTTGGATCCCTATAATCCATCAGTAACGATATTAAATGCCCATACTGCTGAATCAACAAGTGCCTTCTTGTCATGTTTCGGAGAGGAAGACATTTTGCCTCTCATTCAAATATATTAGATCTCTACAATATTCCCATGTTTCAGTGCTCTGGCTCCGGTTAGGCAGCTTTTTACAAACATAAATATATTTTTTGGGGGGGTTAGGTGGAACTTATTTAGCATTGTTGCTAATATTGTTTCTTTATATTTTTATTTTCTGTACTTGACTTTGTACAGGTGTTGAGTTGATCCTGTTGAAGTTGATTTCGAGAGAGCTTCCGCTAGAACATCAAATTTGTAAATAATTGTAATTACATTTTCAGCATCTAAATCAGTGAACATTTATTTTAGAAGTTTAATTTATTTTGAGTTTAAATTGTTTTAGCCTGTGCACTCGGTTAGGTTAGAACCGAGTGTGGCGGTAGCACCCCTATTTCCCTTTTTGAATTTGCACTGCACAATTATGATGTTTTCAAATAAAGTCTATAAACAATGTTTTATTTAAAGGTATTTTGGGTGAGAAATTTGGGGGTGTTACAGATATAATCAGTCACCTTCACCCAACTAGGATATGCAAAAGAAACAGTATGTACCTGGATGGTCTCCGTTGCTGGTTGAAGGAACACCTCCTGCCGGGCAAAACCCTTGATGTGTCCGGGGACGGAAGTCGCCAGATCCTCGGGTGTAGGATTGCATAGTTTGGATAGAATGTCAGCCTCGACAGTCTCTACTCGGGGCACCAGATCGACGATCACCTGTTTGAACTGCGCAGTTTGCTCCTCCGTCAGCTCCTTGTAGGCCTTCATCCGTTCCTCCCTGGTATCGGCGATGTCGTTCATCTGTGTGACTACAAGCTGGCTATCCATCCTTACCTTCAGATGAGCTGCTCTGAGGGCCTTTGCGTATTTTAAACCCGCAATAAGTGCCTCATACTCGGCCTCGTTGTTGGTAACTTTGAAATCAAACTTCATGGAATAGTAAGCCTTGAAGCCTTCAGTGGAGGTGATGACCACACCCCCCATATCCCTTGGTGCTAGATGCCCCATCGGTGTACATATCCCACCAACTGTCAAAATCATTGCCACCGGGAGTCTTGTCCTCAGTTCGTGTCGTGCCATAGGATTCCTGAGGATTCCTCAGTTCGTGTTGTACCATAAAATCTGCCAGTGCCTGCCCCTTGATCGTCGGCATCGGTTTGAACTCCACATTGTACTGTCCGATCATAAGGGACCACTTGGTAATCCTTCCACTCGCCATAGGATTCTTGAGGATGGTAGCAAGGGGCTGAGTCATGAACACCGTCACCGGGTGTGCTTGGAAGTATTGTGCCAAGCGTTTGATCGATGCGATCAAAGAGAGGATTGTCTTCTCCATTAGTGTGTATCTTATCTCTGGGCCGTTCAGCGCCTTTCTCACAAAATATATAGGCCGTTGAACGTCCTCTTCTTCTTTTAATAGAACGGAGCTCACTACCCGATCGGCCACCGCTAAATACACGTACAACTGCTCCCCGGGGTCCGCCTTGGTGAGGACGAGCGGCGAGGAGAAGTACGTCTTGAAATCTTCAAATGCTGCTTGACATTCAGGGGTCCACTCAAAAGGATTGGCTTTCTTCATGATTTGAAAAAAGGGAATCGCCTGGTCTGCCAATTTCGACATGAACCTGCTCAGAGCTGTCAGGCGCCCGATGAGCCTCTGTACCTCCTTCAAGTTCCTGGGTGCCTCCATGTCCATGATGGCCTTTACCTTCTCCGGGTTAGGCTCAATATCCCGCTCACTCATCATGTAGCCAAGGAAGTTCCCCCCTTTGACAGCAAAGGCACATTTTTTTTGGGTTCAATCTCATATTCGCCCCTTCCATGATAGTGAAAACCTTCTCCATATCCTGGATGTGGTTTTCCTTCTTCTTGCTTTTAATCAAGATATCGTCCATGTATGCCTCCATGATTTTTCCAAGGACCTCCTTGAACAATATCCCGATCATCCTCTAGAAGGTTGCCATCATGTTCCTTAAATCGAACGGCATGACAACATAGCAGTACACCTCGTCCGATATGACAAAAGCAGTTTTTCAGCATCGTCTGGGTGCATGAATACTTGGTGATACCCTCTGAAGGCATCCATGAAGCCGAGCAGCTCACAACCTGCGGTTTCATCCATCAAAAGATCAATCCTCGGCACGGGATAGGGATCCATCGAACAAGCTTTATTGAGGTCGGAATAGTCGACACACATCCGCCACGTGGGCCCCTTGGGTGCTAAGACAACGTTGGACAGCCACTCCACATGCATAAC